CTCCCCCCACCCTTTCTCCCTCGCAACCCCCAGACATGGCTGGTCCTGACCTAAGGGGAACCTCCCCCCTCCCATCCACCCTGGGTCCCCCTAAAAAATTTTTAAAACACCCCTGTAAAAACTTTCTTAATTTAAATAGTTTAGATAGTTTTTTATCCATGCCGCTGCTTTAGCCTCCAGTCCCCTAATCATCTTTGTTGCTCTTCTCTGTACTCTTTCTAGAGTCTCAACATCTTTTTTACATCGCGGTGACCAAAACTGGATGCAGTATTTCAAGTGTGGCCTTACCAAGGCATTGTAAATGGTATTAATACTTCACGTGATCTTAATTCTATCCCTCTGTTAATGCAGCCTAGCACTGTGTTGGCCTTTTTGGCAGCTGCAGCACACTGCTGGCTCATATTTAGATGATTGTCCACTAGGACTCCGAGGTCCCTCTCACAGTTACTACTATTGAGCAAGGTACCCCCCTGTGCATTTGTTTTTTCTTGCCTAAATGTAGAACCTTGCTTTTTTCACCATTGAATTTCATTTTGTTAGATAGTGCCCAGTGTTCAAGTCTGTCCAGATCCTTGCCAGCTTGGTGTCGTCTGCAAATTTGATGAGTTCCCCATCTATCCCCTCGCCCAAATCATTGATGAAAATGTTGAAGAGCACTGGGCCCAGAACAGAGCCCTGGGGCACCGCACTACACACTTCCCTCCACGTAGATGCGGTTCCATTGAGGACCACTCGCTGAGTACGGCCGGTCAGCCAGCTACGGATCCATCTGGTGGTGATGCTGTCTACCCCACACTTTTCTATCTTGTCAAGTAGTAGGTTGTGATCTACTTTATCAAATGTCTTACTGAAGTCTAAGTAAATTATGTCCACAGCATTCCTCTGATCCACTAATTTTGTCACTTGGTCAAAGAATGCAATAAGATTTGTCTGGCATGATCTATTTTTGACAAACCCATGTTGGCTTTTAGTAATGACTTTGTTTGTCTCTAGGTGTTCGCTGATTCGTTGTTTGATTATCTTTTCCAGGATCTTCCCAGGTATTGAGGTCAGGCTGATAGGTCTGTAATTTCCTGGGTCCATTTTTTCCCCTTTTTTGATGATGGGAACTACATCAGCTCTTTTCCAGTCCTCTGGTAGTTCCCCTGTGCTCGAGGATCTTTGAAAAATTAGTTCAGTGGTTCTGAGATCACATCTGCAAGTTCCTTGAGAACCTTGGGGTATAATCCATCTGGTCCTGGCGATTTGAACTCGTCTAGGCTGGACAGGTGGTCACTTACCATTTTCTTGCCTATCTTAACTTGTGTTTCTATTCTGTTTTTTATGGCACTATTTTTGATAGGTTGGTCTGTTTTTTCTCTTTGTGTAAAGACAGATGTTGGGCTACACTAGTTTCTTTTTGTGTGAAGACTGATGCAGAGTATGAGTTAAGCAGCTCTGCTTTCTCCTTGTTGCCTGTTATTTCCTTGCCAATTATTTATTTCCTTGCCAAGAACCAATTATAAAAACTGAAATTACTGTCAATATCTGGATCTTCAACATTACTACATGGCATTTTTTTTCTCTTAAAACATTTTGGTTTTGGTTTTATTCTTCTATCTTTCACAAATCTAAATACATGTTATTTCTAATCAGTTCAATTTATTACAGTCATTTCTTTAAAATATTTTAATAGACATGTATAATAAATCTAAATGCCCATGGTTAAGTTGAAATGGGAGTAAAGCCAAATTTCTTACCTTTTGATCCATCCATGATTCCACGTAAGAAGGTATGTAATGATCTCATTCCCATTTGCAGTAACAGTTCGTAACCATGATACAAACTAATACAAAGAGCAAAATCTCCTTCTATTGCACCTTGTTGCATTCGCTGGGGAAAAAAAAAAATTCAAAATTATAGTTATACAGATATATTTGTAACAGCAATTTTACTGTGATTCTATCTACAGTTTAAGTAAATAATAAAGTAAAGTAGACTTCCACCTAACTATCTAAGCACTTTTTATTCCGTTTCAAGCTTACTGGGGAAAAAATAAAATGCTTTGAAGGCTAAAGCCTGGATTAGACTTCTCTGTCACTGCACATCAGGGAATGTATTTTTCTGTCATGCGGAGACGGTTGCATAACTTTTGCATTTATACATTTGCAAATGTTCATTCTGACCAGGGGGCTTAAAATGCTATATAAATGGGATAGAAAACTGTAGCGAGAAAAAATTCATTTTGAGACAAATACTGCAGGAATTTGAATTTATTCAGATAAACGGATAAAGTCTTTATCCAAAGTCCACAAAAATTTATATAGATTAAATCAGATGGCCTTTTAAAAACCAATATTTGGGTTTTAATTGGTTTTTAGCAGGGGAAATTTTTTGTATGATGTTTTAATACGCTGTGAGCCGCCCTGAGTCCCATGGGGAGAAGGGCGGCATATAAATCCTAAAAAAAAAAAAGAGTAGAGGGCTTTTTTCTTAAAGGCAGTATGGGCACATCTTTTCCTTAAACTTTGCAGAGCTAGAGAAGGAATTCTGTAACCCAATGGTTGGATTGGACATCCAGAAAAAATATATATTAAAGTAGCGTTCCCCCTACCTTTCTGGCTCAGTGGACTGCTGGAAATGATGGGGGGGGGGGATGGTTTTGTGTGCGTGCCACTTTCACAAATGCAGCTTTGAGCATGCCTATGAGTGTACTCCCCCGCCACTTCCACGACCCGGTTTCAAATGGGTTGTGGTCCTGGCACTGGGCTGCGGCCCGGGGGTTGGGGGCCTCTGTATTAAAGGACATCGGAGGTAGAAATGGGATTAGAACTTTGGTTTTAATTTTATGGGAAATGATTTACCCTGTGTTGTTTTCGTTATTTTGTGTTAACTCTGTGCATGCAAAGGAATAAAACCTGGACATTGTTTTAGAGATTTTTTTCCTTTTCAACTCCATTTTAGTACTTTGATTTTAGTATTCATGATAAATAACTTGGATTCTTACTGAAACAGTTACAAATTAAGACTTTCCTAAATTAGATTCGTGTAAAGAGGGACGAACTAATCCATGTTTTTCCCTCCTTTCGTCTTTTTTTTTTCTAGTAGTGTAATAAATAAGAACTCACGGTGACACTTTTTTCACGGTCCACCACCCAAAAGGACTTTTCCGACACGTTTGTCATTTCCTTCTACATTATAGTTGACACTCTTTTCCGCTGAGACCTCCCCACCCCACCCCAGATGTGCATTTGACTGTGACTAATTACAAATCTGATTATACAGAAAGAAAATAAATAATATTCTTCTTGAGAATATGTACCTCAAAACGTGAAGCAGGGTTTTTCCTAAATTGATCTCGTGCTAGAATTATCTGATACTTTGTAAGAGCAGGTATTTCATGTCGTGGCAAGACCTGGAGTCTAGTTAGCCGACCAGTAAAAATTTCCAAGACCTGAACATAAAACAGAAGACACAAAATGAATTTTTTCCATGTCACAAGTGGTTCTACGTGGGAAAGAGAAACAGATCTCAGTATGAGCTATCTCACAGCAGGTTGAACCAAGTAGAAGTCAAGGCTTTGAAGCAAGAAGTTATTCAGTCTCTTATATTTTAGTTGTTGACAAATTAGTGACCCACATCAGCTTCCTGAATTTCTGCATGACCCCAGAAGGCCATTCAGAGACTTTATCACAGGGGTGTCAAACTCACTGCCTTATGTGATGTGTCCCAATGTATCACAACTTTTTTCACATTGCTGGAGCTGGGGTGGATGCAGCCTCCGCATGATGCAACCAGCCCACGGGCCAGCAGTTTGACAGCCCTGCTTTATCAGAACAAATGACCAACATTTTTCAGTGTGTTAATGGTGGGGCAGTGTGTGAGAATGACAGAATGATACTTTTGAAGCAGTATTAAGCCTCTGGAAGACAAACTATTAGCATTCTCAAATTTACCACTATTGATTGCCTGAAATTGCACCTACAAAATTCAGCCATTTTGTCACTTAATTCCGATGGCACAATTGGGGGAGAGTGGGTATGTTAAAGATTGCATTCAACCTGCAATTAAATGTTAACAAGTTATGCACCCTGAAATCCATGAGTTCTTCTGCCTGTCCAAAAAAAAAAAAAAAAATTCATTTGATGCAGCTATTGTTTTCTTAAAATCTACACACTGCACATAAAATGTCTACCCAATCCATTCTAGCAAATAGGATAAATTCATTAATTTGACTTCAGGGCTTGCATCGTAGTAACACGGCCGAGGGATTGCGGGGCGCCGCACCTTACGGCTGGTTTCGCCCTGCCAGGGGGTCCTAAATGGGTCGAAAGTTGCCCCGGAGAGGCGACAAAGAAGAAGAAGCTGATCACAGAATGACGGCGGTCAATCCGCTCTATCCGGGGGAAGCCCTCCAACCTGACAGGAGAAAGGCTAACCACATCTCGCTGGGTAGCCCAAGCTACTGGCAGCCAAAGTCCAAAAGCACTAACCAGAACAACGGTGAACAGTGTGCTTGGAACTGGGTGAGAATATCGATCTTCTCTCTCCTATCTTGTAACTGATTTCCTGGAAAAAATCCCCAAGAAGCAAAAAAATCCTCTGAAAGTGAGAAAGGAGGGGACTACACCCCCACCCTTCCATAGAGAGAAGCAGCAAATTAATGTTTATGGGGGACAGAAATATATTGAAATGAAGTTAATACTACAGTCTGGATAAATTTTAAAACTATGAAAACTGTTCAGATTTTGCATCTGAAAGAGTATTAATGAAACTATAAGAAAATAATTCTTTGTCTTAAAAGTTGTAATGAACAGATACTGACATCTAGTGGAGGATTAGAACATAACTATAGCTGTATTGACTCAGAAATTGGCAAGATGCCCAGAAATAGAAAAAGCTTGTTCCTTTGAACCTCAGTGATTTTTACTCAAATAAAAAAAAACAACTGGGAACGGAGGAAAGAAAATAGAACAGGGCCATCCAGTACAGAATGAGAACTACATTTGTTTTAAAAACTGCTGACCTTCTGGGACTATAAATATTCACTGACTGTGATTTGATTTCTAAGCCCAAGAATTATTTGCAGAGAAAGAAAAATCTTGACTCTTGGTTGATCTTCTAGGGGGAATTTACCGGAAAGCTTTTAGGTGGCTAAACATTCTGGACTGCAATTCTCGCTGGTTGATAATTCTAAGACCTCTGAACAGAAGAACTGTTATAAAACACTGCTTTCAATGGATGCTTTGACAATTGGAAACACATTGGATTACAATAAAGATAAAAGCTGTATAAGATTTGGTTGTTTGGATTTTAAGATTGGCTGGTTTGATAAGGCTACACAGAGACTATGGTATCGGTGAAAGACTATCTGGAGGGGGGAGACAAAATGGATGTTGCATACCTATCACCACACCACACCTAATATTTCCTTCTGAAGGCCCTAGCCTGGAACATCAGAGATCTGCAGGAGCAATACTCCAAGACAAGGCAAATACTTTCAGGAGGAAATGTATGCAATGCTGTGACAGATTCAAATGACAATGGTTTCAAACCACGATGAGATTAAAAACAACTTTGATGACATAAATGAGCACATCTTCAACCTAAACTTACAATTAAAAACCTCTCAGAAAACGGTGATAAAGAATGAACAAACACATCAGATAACAGAACACAAACCAGAAGAAGGTGACTTAAATAGGGAAGCTACAAATGAAGAGAACCACAATTTAACACAAACAGAAGAAAATTTACAAGATTTTGAAACAACAATGAAAATGGAAAAGATATTTTATCTTTCAGGACTTCAAAACAAATTTGAGGATAAGAAAGAAGATCTAACAAAATGGATTATAGAGCTGCTAGGAAAATCATTAGTTTGAGAGACAAAAAGCATACATCCAACTCAACTTGTCTTTCTTACTCCCAACACTTGCAAAAATACAGGAATCCCCTGGCAAGCAGAACATACTGACTTGGAAAGCTACTTGGCAAAAGAAGAAGGCTAGAGTTAGATTTAAGAGATTTGATTCGACTTACCAGATGGAGTACTATATGATTAAACACTTGTTTGAATATGGTTAAAAGAATAGATAAATTTTGGATATAAAGGGGCCTTACAGTAAGAAGGACAAGACATATAAGTAGTATAGTAGTTTTTATATTATATGAAATGTAAAAATATTATGTATGTGAATGAAAAGTTTGGACATTTAAAGGTAATTAATTTTGAGAAAATTATGACTGATAAGAATGATTTGAATACTGAGGGGAAATCAAGCTTAAATAAAAATCTTGAAAACAGAACATATAGTGACTTAATAAGATGACTTTTACAAATATAATTGAAACATAAGCCGACCAGAAAAGATGTTATATGTGGATGTTATAAAATATACAAGTAGTATAGTACTTTCTATAATATATAAAATATGAAAATATTGGGATGGTGTATGTGAATGAAAAGTTTGTATATTTAAAGGTAATCAACTTTGAGAAAATTATGACTGATAAGAATGGCTTGAATACTGAGGGAAAATTAAGCTTAAATAAGAATTTTGAAAACAGGACACATACTGACTTAATAAGATGACTTTTATAAATACAATTGAAACATAAGCCGACAAGAAAAGATGTTATATATGGATGTTATTATTTGTACAAACACAAGAAAAATGTTCATATCCAACCTTGTATGTATCGAAAATATTAAGAATTACATCTGTTTAATGTTGATAAAGGAGAATACTACTGGAAGAAGAGAAGATCAAGGAAATATACTATTAAGGTATTGATTGTGGAATTATAGAAATTAATCATTATTGATTTTTTAAATATATGAACCCAGACAACACGCTGTTTACTAAGCACTAAAGATTGTTATAATTAAAAAAACCAATAAAATATATTTTTTTAAAAAAGGATAAATTCATGAATGTAGATGCTTTAGGACTTCTAAACAATATTTGGATTCAATCTCTTTTTTGGGGGGAGAAGTGTTAGTTAACAACTTAGCTAGGTTCTGCTACATGTACTCCCAGTCAAGGAAATGGAAGAAGGGTCACATATGGAATTGAACAGGAACTTATAGGGTATCAGAATATATGGTCTACCTTCCCTTTAAGCTCTCAGAACACAAAGATACAAATGTTATACAGATAATCCTCAATTCATGACCTCAGTTGAGACAGAAATTTCCATTACTAAGCAATGTGATTGTAGAGCAAGATATCACATGACCACATTGCTTAATGATCCCAATCCTGGCATTCCTGGTTACTGTCATAACCCTACATGTGTGGGTCTTTAAGCGGAGGGAGGAGTGCAGTAGAGAGATGGGAGGGCTGGCATAGTCTGCATGAAAGATGAGGGACAGTGCAGTGCGAGCACAGGGATACTGGGGAAAGAATTTGCTATAGCTCAGGGGCTTCTTGGGACACTGTGGATTGGGGCTGCAAGAAACTGTGGAGCTGAAGCATAATGCTGTAGCAAGCCTTGGAAACCTCAGCCACTCCAACCAGCTCAGTTCAGCTCATTGTATTCCATAGACCAGACATGTCAAACACAAGGCCCGGAGGCCGGATGCGGCCCGCGAAGCCATCCTGGAAACAGTGAGGGAACGCCCCCCGCTGCCTTGGCCCTGGCCCAGGTCGGCTGGGAGCCAATGTACAATTTTGTGGTGGCCATCTATGCTGAAATGCATTCAGTCTTAGCTCCACAAGGCCGTCTAGAAACAGCGAGGAATCAGCCCCTGCTGCGTTGGCCCCACCCCCTGGGTGCATGCTGGGGAGGTGTCACCCTTTGTGAGGAATGAAGAAATGGACCATGCCTTGGCGCTTGCCCTGGTCCCACCCCCTTCTGCCAGAGACCCTCAGATCTGTCCCACTCCTGCCCAGGCCCCCACGGGCACCCTTGACACGAACAATGTAGAGCTGGCCATGCCCACCCAGTAGACCACACCCACTCCATCCACGCCCACCTAGTAGGCCGCATCCACCCTGGCCACACACCCCCGCCCTCCCGAGGGCAACCTCAATGCTGATGCGGCCCTCAATGAAATTGAGTTTGACACCCCTGCCATAGACCTTGCCGCATCCAGTTGACCCTTGCCATTTTCCTGCCCCTGCTAACAAATTATGTCCAACTTGACTATGATGGAATGAAACATAGTGCCCCTCCCCCCAAAAAACCCCAATAATCAAGACTCACTGCAGAAATTATTTATCCAGCACACAGTGTTCAGCTTCAAAGTTTACTGATGGTAGTCACTAATCCCTGAAGCTCAACACTTCCCATCAGATGCCTGCCATAAAAGCCTACATCCTTATTTTGACATAAACCTACAAAGACATAAATAAAAAGGACCCAATTATTTGAAAAGATGCCTCCAACATTATTTAACCCATACGATAATATCAGTAGAAAAGTCCTGTTGTGGCTCCAATGGTGGTTAAGACTCACTGTATGCTGACCTGGAGTAAGGCTTTCTCCTTGGCAGATTCCAGTTATAAAATTATCTATTGAGTATACAACTTATTCCCTATTTTGCTTTAATCTTTGTTGGACAAGCTTATTTTTCCAGACACTTGCAGGTTAACAACTATCCTAGGATAACACTTTTGATTTAATTCTTTATAACTGTTGTACTCTTTGTACAATTGTTTCATTTTAATAGTTCACTTTTTTCTCTCCTCAAACTTTTTTCATGGAAGGATGTTTTTAATATTTTGTATACCATTCTGGGCTCCTTTAGGATGAATAGTGGTATAAAAAGAAAGTAATTAGCAATGTAATAATTAAACAGTAATTAAATGCATTAACCAAACCAGACTATAACTATGGAAGACAATAAATCTCATCGTTACCTTTCAAAATCAATAATGATTTTTGAGGTTAATGCTGAAGGTTCTCTTAAATACCTGTCTGAGATTGTAATTTTAACAGAGATTTGTTTGTTATAAACCCTTATAAAGTGATCATAATTACAGTTCATTGTAATGCAATCTGCACAGGGCCCACTAGAAAATGAAACTGCAGAATCTCCAAATACCCTTTCTAAGTTCAGCACCTACTTAATTACAAAACTGTCCAAAGCCAGTTTCTGAATTCTTCCAAGAATAAACCCAACCTTTGATCAGACATGCTAGAGTGACTTTAATGAGAAACTGCAGCAAAATGCAAACTCAATCAGGATAATTCACCAACTGTTAAGCATTCTATTGTCAATCTGCTTTAATTACACATGTCACTGTTCAAAGTTTTAAACTATTGAAAAATAAGTTCACAAACACACCAGTAAATTCAGTGTTTTATTTAACAGGCTCAATGAGCAGAACTCCCTTAGCAAAATGAAAAACAAATTTATTTATTAACTTATATTTCAAGTGCTGAATAAAATTTTACCCAATTCTTGCATGTTAATTCTACCTTCATTTTCATAATTCTAAAATAGATTAAAACTCACCCGTATGTAAGCATTCTGAATTTCAGTCAATTCTTTCCCAAGTGGAACAACACATTTTTCAATTCGTCGCTCATGAGAATAAGGCTGAATATCAGGAGAATCTTCAGAGCAAAGTTCTATGTGTGAAATTAACAGGTTGGTAATAACTTGCTGCACAGCCTGTTAAAAAAGTGTCAAAGTTATGTGCTGCATCTCGGTTAGGTTCATGTTAGCAGAATAAAAATCAGATATATTTGGACACAGAATTTCAAGAGTTAAAATCTAATCTTCACAGTCTGTAAATATTATAGACAGGCAAGATTAAATGAGAGAAAAATTCAACTTGTCCTAACTGTGGGGTTTGTAGCACAATTGTAGATGCAAAGACCTAATTACCCAACACAGAATTGCCAATATCAGGCGGGCTGTGCATGTATGATTTTTAAATTTAAAAAATATCTTAGGATAATCTTGTGAGTGTATTTTTTTAAGTTAATTTTAAAAGCTTTTTCCTCAAAACTGATAAAAAAATACCCTAAACATAAACATTGCAGATGTCACATTCACAATGTGTACCTGCAGAAGATCCCGGTGGTTTCAAATATTTTACTAATAGCATCTATTAAGGAATAGTTTGGGCCCTTCCCTCCTGTCAGTTGAAACTGTCAGCTGATAAAGAAATTGCGTAAGAGAGGAAAACAGCTTTGCAGAACTGAAATGTGCATTCAAGTATAGCAATTATTTTTTAAAATCAACACAGATAATGTATGATTATTAAGAAAATCTAGCTCCCTCGACAAAAAGAATTGACTCACCTTTGCATCACTGCCAGGAGTTGCACTTAGAGCCAAGACTCGAAACTCTTTGGTGTATTTGCATAATTCTCTCACAACCTGAAGGGAGAATAACCTTCATCACCACTAAGTTTGTTCTATTACATCCAAAATAATTCTGAGAAAATGCAAAATATGAACAAGGCAAACTCTGAATTCCAAATTAGTAACATCTAACAGAAAATCAAAATTCAGTTTCAGTAAAATACATTTGTATCTTGCTGAGATGTAAGCCTATCTTTGTAAAAGTATGCTATGCGATAACCTCATAGACAACATTTATTTTCTGGTTAAGCGTTTAAATAGACAGAGTCACCAGCATCATGAGACTGCACTGCTGAACCTAAACTGCAAAATGGCCCGCTTTCAGTGAGGCAATTTTTGCAGTTGTAAGAACCAAAAAAAGTGGAATATTGGAGTTATAAATTCTAACTCAAATATTCCAGGTTTTTTGGTTCTTTCTATTCTGACTTCCACTGTTATGGTATTGCCAGAAATCAGAGTTTAAAAGATGAGATAGATAACATGTCTTCAATCAAAATAGCTGTTGATTTCTCTTTTGCCTTTTATTGCCCTAGGGCCAAACACTTTTTCTAGAAATTTTCTTCATTTTCTTTGCTAACTTTCTTACCCAAATTATATTATTTATATGATGCTGCTTCTGTTATGTTGAAATGCAGAAAAAAATAGAAAAAGATTAATCCCACATCAAAAAAGAATCTGGAAATAAAAAAATAAAATAGAAAAGAAATGCATACTTGTGGCTTACTGGCTACAGGTAAAACAAGAGAGAATTGATTTCAGATTTGCTACTTATAACCTATACAAGATTTTATACCTGTAAGATGATATTCAAGAGCCACCTAGTGGCAAAAAAAATCTTGTCCCAGTAGGAGGATAAGTGGAATTTTTCAACTCTCAGCCCTAAATCCTGTTTCTTGATGCAGTCTTTTTCAATGCATGCACTGAAGTGCCTATATAAATATACAACTCTAAATCAATTCAAAATAGCCTAATGAGATTGTAAAGTTCTCATCAACAGAGCTGCAGTTTCTTGATCAAATTTCAAAATCCCTGTTTAGAAATTTGTGCAGAAAGAGCTGTTTTTCTCCAACTTGCTGCTTAGAAGAGAAAAAGAGAAAAAAATGAATGCCTGCATCAATTTTTGACTTGGTCACACTCAGCCACTGTTAGCTCCAGGCTAATATGTGCTCCCATCTAGCTTGCTTTTTAAATAATAATCTATTCAAAGAAAGGGTATAAGCTTGTACAATCCATACTACCTGACAATACGCATGATTTCCAAGAGCTTTATGGGCTTCATCAATAACCAGGCATTTAATTTCTGCTGCTGGACATGTGCCACGAGAAAGATCATTTGCCATTATTTGAGGAGTGAGAAAGAAGACTCTTTTGGTGCGCCAGATTTCTTTCCGATCAGCAATTTGGGTACCTCCTGAAAAAAAGATAAGAAAAATCTGTATAGCGCTGCTGTTTACTAGTAATTAATATGAAATTCTAGCAGAGTTTACATTAAATGCATTCTCATACTTTAAAAATCAGCCTACAGATTTCTGTATTGCTAGTCAGAAAAACATTTTAAGTGACAGCATTTTAGAATTTTTAAAAAAGCTTGTATCCCATTTAAATAGAATGATAGTACTGAAAATGGAAAATTACTTGCATTTTGCAAAAAGTACGGATTTTCAAACTAAAGTCCACCAAATGTATTGAATTACAAATCACTCAATGGTTGCACTAGCTTGGAAATCAAGAAAGTACAATTTAAAGTCCCAGCAAAACTGATTCATTGCAAGGTATACTTGCTGTGCTTCCCTACATATTCACATATACAGTATATACACACTTCATCCTGTAAAAAATATACTCAAGATAATCGGGATTCAATCCTCTATCCATTTTAAGTATGTAAAGCAGTAGTTCTTAAACTGGGAATAATTACTCCCAAAGAGGTAATCTGAGCATATCCAAGGGTAATGGAGTAACAGTTAGGGACTGTCCTGCCAAAATACTTGAGTAAACAATAGTCAGGTTTGTGGGAATAATGATATTTGAGACTAAGAAAAAGGGTAATTGGATCAAACAATTTAAGAAATCCCACTATGGAAGGATTTATTTTTTATTTATTTATTTATTTATTTATTGGATTTTTACCCCGTCCTTCTCCTTGCGGACTCAGGGCGGCTAGAATTAATCACATTTAAGTGTTTTGGGTGCAAACAGTTAAAAATTAGCACATAAGCAGAAATGCAAATAATCCATAAGAAAAAACTGAGAAATACCTGTAATAACAGGTATCATAAGCTTTTCCCTCAAATTATGCAATTTTGTAAAGACTGGATTTTGCAAATAAGTGTCTAACATTTAAAAATAAATGAACAAGGATTTACCTTGTGCTGCTCCTTAAAGTCACAACTGTTATTCAATTTATTCTTCTGTAGAAAAATACACACAGCACCCTTCAGCGTTTATTTTAAAAAACAGGACTGCTGAATAAGGTACAAGATAACCACTACAATGAAACCAATAACCCAGTCATAGCTTAATATATATGGGATGTCAGTCACAGGAATTGGGCTGCTTCTAAGTGCTGGTGATATCGATCCAACCGCAACTGACATATAAAAAGGACAAAACAAAATCCTTTCGGTCTTGTTTCACTACTGGTCCATTTCCGCGGATAACAGAGGTGCCTTACTCTAGAACTTCTTTTCAACTTCATAATCTGTCTTACAGCTCTGCTCCCACCCCACTAGTGATCACATCCCGCTTAGCTTAACTGGTGGCTCGGGCGAAAACAAGCGCGATCCTGAGCCACATGCAGAGCGTAATCAAACACCCACCAGTCATCTCGGCCATATGCGCAGCGGGGATGCCGAGGAGGCGGGCGCAAGCCTCCCGTTGCTGAGCTACTAACGGCTTGGTCGGGGCCAGGAAGAGGATCTTGCCGCCCGGGAACCACCGGTAGAAATTATACATGACCACGGCGGCTACCAGTGTTTTGCCCAGCCCAGTAGGCAGGCAGAGCAGCGTGTTGGCCAGGAGCGCTTCCCACGACGCTCGAACCTGGTAGGCACGCTCCTCCACGCACCCGCTGGACGGGAACATCCACAGAGCGCCCGGCGCGCCGCCGATGAATCCCCGGGCACCAGGAGCGCCCGGCGAATCCGCTGCCTCGGCCTCTATGGCTGCAGCCAACAGCTCCGCCTCTTCTTCCTCCTCTTCTTCCACCGCCGGCGCAGGAGTCAGCTGCGCTCCCCATGCTTGGAAGAGCGTGGCCTGCCGGCTTCTGCCTTTCATTTCAGCAACGCCTCCGCCGCCCTCTCGCTGTTCTCGTGCAAACTCCTCTCAATAAGTAACGACGCCATCTTGGCGGCCACCGAAAACCCCGCCAGCTGCGAGGAGGCCCCTGATTGGTCAAGCCCAAGAAGGCGGATCAATCACATGCTCTATTCTTGCATATTTTTTTTATTCGCTATCAGAGAAAGGGAGGTTCCGACGAAGGAGGGTTCGACTTTTTCTCCATTTATTGTTGAAGCGCCGGGGGACACGCAACTGAAGCGGTGTCTGTTTCAACGAGTCACTTCCAAAACTTTCTCAAAGAACTGCTAGAAGTATCACGCGCGAGCGTTTGCCTTATATATAATGATATTTCTAGCAGTTCTTTGAGAAAGTAGTTGAAACAGACATGCCCAGTGCACCGCGCAGTCCCCCTACAACAGAAATCAGGAAGTAGATATATAACTTAGAAGTAGGATTTTCAAGGGAACAACCAACTCTTGAGGGCAGACTACAATACCCAGCATGCAACAGGAATTGCTCCGCTTGTCTGGCGTTTGCGTCCACCCAATTACGTAGCAGGAGCCTCTGCTTTCTCGGGTAGAACTACGCTACCCAGCATGCTCAACAGGAAGAGGCGAACGGAGTGGCGGGGCGCGCCAAGCGTGCTGGAATTGTATTTCGTGCTTTGGGCTTGTGAGGGGCCGCTGAAGCGTTCCCGGACTTTCTCCTAGTAGGCGCCCGCCTGAGGCGATGTAATGGCGGACCGTGCGCGCCCTTGGAGCCTGGAGGAGCTGCGGAACGAGGCGCTGCCCAAGCGGGAGATTGTCCACTTTCTGCAGGAACAAGCGGCACACAGGGTGCGGGGTCCGAGGCGCGATCTGACGGGTGGGCAGGCTCCATTCATATGCCCATGCGGGCTAGTCTGGACGCGTGTGGCCGCCGTGCTTTAATTTGGCCAGAAGATGGGTGCAAAGTTGCGAAATCCCCTCTCCCCTCTCTGCTTTTTTTTTTTTTTTTTTGCTCTCGTTGCCCATTTTCCCTTGGTTCAGGGCTCCCTCTTTCTTAACCCTGTCCCGCTCTTCGAAGCAAACCATGTAGATCTCTTCAGTTGTGACGAGAGCCTTCAGTGGGATCGAGTTGTCTTTCTTCCCCTTTTTCATTTCACGTGACTGCGGCATTCCTACATGCCAACCTTCCCACGCCTGGGGGGCAGGAGGGGATAGGGATTACCGATTCCATTACTGACGGGCCAGGATGGAGAAGTTTATAACCACAGATTGATCATGCACTCATTCATTCTTGTAGATTTTAATACATTGATTTTGTTGTTATTATTATTTGTTGAGTGATCATTGGATGCCATTGGCATACTTTGCCTTGAATTTCAGAACACAGCAAAACATTAAAATCATCTGCTGTTACAGGCAATAGTCTTAATTTTTTTGAAATGCAAGAAAGCTGCCCATTGGATGATGCATCAAAAACAAGACTAGGTCTTGGAGAGGGCTTCCTGTAGCCATTCATCTGTTATCTACGATAATATGCAAGGCATTGCTAGGGGATAAAAAAATATCCCATTTTTTTCAAATTGAAATAGTTTAACTTTAGAAGAATCCACGAAGCTTTCAGTTTAAAGTGCAAAGGAGAAAGGGGTACTATATAACTGAAAGCTTCCTTCAGTTATACAGTACCTTCTATTTTTAATTTTCGCTGAACTAAATTTATGGACATGAAATCAGGCATTTTTGGGGAATTTTATGAAACTGATTTGTTTTAAAATTTATTTAAAGCTGATGTACAATTCCATAACTTACTTACATTGCAGATGAATGTATGTTTATCTTCCATGAAATTGGTCGATAGGAAAAATCAAGAGGAAGAGAGTTTAGTATTCTTTTCACAGTGTGCTTTATTCTTTTTCTGTGTTATGATTGAGTTCTGTTCTGCAGTTTGCTGAGACCATCCTGAATGGAGTTCTTAGTATAGGAATTACAAGTTTTTGGATTTCAAGAGCAATAATTGGATTTATTTGATGCTACTAGATATACTTCAAATTTCCATATTGTAAAGTGTATATACTATTCCAGCTCACTTTGCTATATAAGAAAACTTGTCATTTATTACAGGTAGCTGAACTAATCCTAAGTTTTGTTTGTAGTTTCTTGTAGAGCACAAGTTGCTTGGTCAGATAAAAAATGTGGCTAAAACGGCTAGTAAGGATCAGTTAATAACAGCATACAACCAACTCTTTGAAACAAAGGTAAGTCTTACGCTTGTCTTACTTTACCAGTGCTTTTTTTGTAAACTGAAAATGGATAAAAAGCTCAGTGGATAGATCAAGTATTTTTTTTACAAAAGGTACTGGGCATCTCTACTTAAAAGAACCATGGACTGCTGTGCTGAAGAAATTATTGTCTTTGTTCTTTGATTGTTGTTGAACTTTCTGCTTGAAAGAAAAAAAATACAAATCTGATTTGGGTTTTGATTATTAAGTAGATCATGGTTATAGAAGTGACTAGTATTTAATATTTTTGATAAGTAAAAAGTTGATATAACTGTATTATGTATCTTACTGCACTGAAAGAAGTTGGAAGTCACTTTTTCTTTTCTTTCTCTTCACTTTATCCACTTTTTTCTTTCCCCTTTTCTTTATTTCTATTTTATATTAAATAAAAACTTGTAATATTTTTTTTTTAAAGTAATTCTTGTTTAAATACCTGTATGTACTGTTTCCAGTCAGATTAGGATGAATATATAAATATGGTCAAACTAGCTTTTAAAACTTGTG